TGTTCATCAAATTATGCTTCGTCTGCCGAAATGTTTGCTAAGAAGGCAATCGTGTCAAAACATTAGCTAAGTAAAGCTTTTTCAAGGCCTGTAGGATTACACCTTAAAACAAGATTGCTATAGTACGGCAAAAAAAGATAGATAAAGGGTGATTCAAAGTTAAGTTCAAGCTAAGATCAGAAAAGGAAAGATGTAATGGGGAGATATATACGGCATATCATTTTGAATAAGAAGGAATCCTCGTGGGACCATGAAGTAGACCATCTACATCAACAACAACCAAGTTCCCAGCTTGTTTTTGTCAGCGTGTACTGAAGTAGAAAAGAACAGCGCCAAGCTGTACATAAATTTGTAAGATCATCTGTACTGAAGATTTGCGGTTCGTTCAATGCACAATGCGTTACAGGCTCCTCTCACGAACACTATCGGCGACTTCTGGCGGATGGTGGTGCAATGTCAAAGTCCCAGTATCGTGAATTTGACTCAGGTAAGGTAACACAATTTCTGTGTCGAGTTGTTCGGTCCCTCTATTTCAGCCCTTTACCTTCTATGTAATCGTCGGTTCTGTCTTTAAAGGCAGCGTCCGCGTTCAGTTGAGATTTTCCTCTCCCTTCGTGAGCAGGTAGTCAGGTCCGCTGAGGCAACAACTACACCACTTTCGCGGCGCAAAAACGCGTGAGAGAGACGATGCCGTCGTTCTTATCATTGACCCAACCTACAATCATTGGCACCGCCCACCATTCATTTCTAATGGCTTTCATTTCTAATGGTTATCTGATGGTGCGGTTGTTTCGCTGCTGCTTCCACGTCGAGTGGTGAGAGTGAGGTGATAAGGGAAAACAGCTGATATCAACAAGTGAGAACTCGTGCGACCGCACCTTCTCTTCGCCTTGAGCACGTACAACCTCAATTAAGCAAGGGGTTCTATATAGAGCCTTTCCTGATTTCTTTCTGATTTTTCTTCACTAAGGGGTTACTTGCTACCTTGTTATAAGTATTTGAGCCGCATAACTCATCAAATTTGAATGCGGGCTCAGCCTTTAAGATTAGAAACCAAGTAACTCAGAGCAGATGCTTCACTCTCCTTTCAGGATATTGAAAACGAAAATCTGAAATGTGTGATGTATTGGCCACAGCATGCTGGAAGTTTTAATACGTATGATAAAATCTTCGTCAATACAAAAAGGGTCAGTTGTTCAACCTGGACCTTTGAAGGCCGTGTTTTTTTATATTCGGAGCACTTTTTCGAAAGCAACCCGGAGAAGCAGCAAGATCGCCCACCTCCCTTTACTGGTTTCCTAAATTAAACTCGATAAGAGCGACATTCATTGGTGGGGTCGATCTAGAGCAAGCATTCAGGGCGCTACAACGGTGGTTCAACGGTTTAGTAGAAGCAAGATCCATGAAGGCAGTGAGCTCTGACGGATCCTGCTCCTGAAGTGAAGGTGCGACTTGAGACGGTTCTTGCGAGTCACGTGCCCCAGACAGGTGTTGCACAAATCGAATGAGAGCCTGAACAGTCGTCTTTTCGACGAGTTGTTTAGCTCATCTTCTTGTTTCTCCTTCGGATCCAACGGACAGTCGTCGACGTTTCTGCTCAGCATTGGACCAAGGTGGAACTCGAATGTATCTCTGTTCGAAATAGCTGGCAAAAACAGAGTCACGAGAGCGGTTTGCAGCTCTTCACCCGGTCCGAGTCAAGGAACCTTCATGGAACAAAGATAGAAAAGTACCGTGATGAGTCGGCTAGGTGCCTCGCAGCCTGCAGCTCATAAGTTTGACTCTCTTGTGAAGCTAGACGAGTTTAAATGCATAGAGCGTGGTACTAGGACGTATTTGGTCTAATAGGCCGTGCAGGTATCGTGTTACCGAGCATTAAAACTGCAAGAATTTCTTATTAAAACTGCAAGAATTCTTGAAATATACCTGGACCTGAACGTCTCCCAACAAAGGCAACGGGATCAGAAAGTGTCTGCATCGACATACAGAATCAAAAAGCAAAAAAGAAAGCTTATTCTCCGAAAGTTATTAATAATTTAGGTGGAACATCAAGAGAATTTCGTTATATATACCATTGAGGCTTTACCAGAAGGTTGCTCTAATTCACATATCGTAAAACTGATACACATGCCAACTTGGCCGGATAAAGGAATGCCTCCAAGTGGACGACATGTTTTACGACTAATAAAAAGAATTGTGGTAAGTAAAATCGATATCAAACTGGTTTTAGTATTTAATCAGCATCCGTTGAATCAAATGGCTCGTTCCATGCTGTGAAGCGAAGCGTCTCCCTCATTCACCTTCGTGTCCTCACCAGTTGTCGTGCTTCGCCGTCATTGCATCGACAGCTAAGGTGGAACTTCACCCGGTACGAGTGCGTGCGAGGATCCTACGCAGCGCTTGCCTCCGCACCTCTACCATACAATTTTGCTGACCATCCGTGGGTCTTTTACTGGCCCGTAAGCTAGCGACTAGACGACTACATAATAATGAATGTTGAGTGTTATGTTGAGAGGAACGCGTGATCACTTATCAGAGGAACTATGCGAAGAACTACAATTTCCGTGACAAAACACCACTCCAATACCATCTTACCTCGGCTCTACATGCAATATGTCGACATGAGTAGCACTGCAGGCCACATAAGAGAGACATAAATGCCATCGGAACAATGACTGGAAAAGGGAACACGGAAATAAATTTTCAATTCATGGTGCGACCACCACGACCGACAACATAAAAGCAAGTGAAGAGGAGCCTGGGAAGTAAAGGAATACGGCTCTAAGCTGACAGACGACTAGCCTACCTCCCAGGCCAAGTGGCGACAGCCCTTTAGGCACATTGAGGTGTCCTCCAAATGGGCTGTCCAGGTTGTTGGAATCCACCGCTCAAAGCGGTTACATGGAACATTCGACGAGACCCTTCTTTGATCCGTGCTTCCGTGTGGCATGCGATTGATTATGATGACTGCTAGCACGAAATTCGATGTTGGTAGGAGTCTACAGTGAAAGGGATCGGACTTCAAAGAAGTGAAGAGCAGCCCAGTCTCCGCGCCTCTGCGTCCCTAGTAGGGTTAGGCGCGCCGAGGCCATCCATTTTACCGTATAGAAAATGCCGCACGACACATTTACACTATGGATCTACAACATCCTTCTACCCTCGACAACTCTTAATATTTAGGAGCACAAGAGTGAACTCGGTCCAATTATCGTTCATTGTTCAGCTGGTGTAGGCCGGTCAGCTTGTATTGTATTGATTGATGTGATATTGCGATATCTCTTCAATGGAGAGCACGTAGAGGTTTGCATTCAGTTATTTCAATTGATAGATTTCGACAGTGTAAACCACGACAAAGAGAAGGTGCGACCTAAACAGTGGGCGAAAATGAAAATTTGAAACAGTGGTCTGTATTCCGTGGAACGGCGCGCTGAGGCTCACAGACACCGTTTGGAATTGCCGAGCTAGGGAACGATTCTACAAAAGCCGTTTTCGGACTTTCACTATACAAGCTTTACTGAAAAACGAGTCTTACGAATCTCCCGAAGGAAAATGCATAAAAAGCAGGCTAAGATGAATCATCGAATCAAACATAAAAACAGTGTTGAGGGTATAGCGGCTGGCGACTTACCCAGTAGAATTACAGAAGACCGCTTCTGCGGCAATTTTTGTTCAAATGACGCCATTTGTTCGACCCGCCAACGAAAACACACGGACTTTCTTTGTTCCCGCCATCGCCTGAGCATTACTTTTGTAATATGGCACATTATGCATACCAGTTTGAAGGCACGGTCCGCGATGAGGAGCTTATTTAATGGTATTGAAGTAAGGGCGACAACTTGTCAGGCGACTCGCCTGTAAAAAGAAAAATGTTGAATCTCTGTTAAAGAGAATGCCAAGGAACGTTCGGAAACGTTCCAATCAGGACCACTCCAAGCTCCATAGACAGATCGGTACGGGTAAGAGGCAGAAAGGCGCGTGTCGTCGGCATCCGATCGGTTCAATTCTTTCTATGGGCCTATGCTTCACAAGAGGTTATGGACATCTCATTTCACCTTTTTACTGATAATTACTTGTGACAGGTAACATAGCTTTGGGCTGGAGGAGAGGGGCTTTGGAAGGCGGAGTCACTGGAGAGGAAGTTGGTCACTGAGCGCAAATTCGGCGTCATACTCCTTTTAGGCCGGTCACAACTTTCGCGCCGCACAACTGGCACGAGATTGTTCTACACCGGACCGGCGATATAATCCCACATAACCTTTTGGCATTTTCGCGGACCGCTCCTTGTGAACACACAACAAAAAATCCAGTAGTTGGTTTCTGTCCTATTCCTCGAGAGCTTGCACTGATTTTTTTATTTCTACTTTGTACGAATGAAGTACACGTAATATGCATTCACAGATGGACAATGGCTATTAAGAAACTTCGAGCCCAGGAGTAGGCATCCTCCATATCATCTGATTCGTTATATGCATTTGTTGCTTACAGTGTAATTGACTACATTCGAGTGAGTTGACACCAAATTATGTTTAGGTAGCTCGGCTAGGTGGGGGCATATTGCTGATTGCTAGTGGGGACGTCTCTGCGTAAAGACCTTTGAAGCTATGCAATAGTGCTAGCTTTGTCTACTCTTAGGGCAGCAGTCCAGCAGGACTCACCGAGGTGAGGCGTCGGTAATCATGAGGGAATTCGCAAAGAGCATAGCGCCCAACGCCGCAACGCTTTGGGCGCGAAGCAAAGAGGCTCCTGGCCCCGCCAATACTACCATCACGGCCTGTGTCTTAAAGAAATGAATGTCTTATATAACGCAGGCGTCGACGCTCACGCTCGGGAAGTAAACAGAGCGCTGAGCGCTGACACTTAACGCTGAAAACTAATACAACTAAATTACCAGCAAACAGCTCAGTAGCGCTCACGCCCACACCGCTGGCGGGGCATCTATTCCCAAAACGTTTCTTGGAAGAAATCAGATCTTTTGTTTTAGGCCAAATGTCCCTCAGCATATAAAGAAAAAACGCAGAAGTTTATAGATGATTTCAAGAGCCACGCAATGCGCGTGGGAGCGTGAACACAAGCAAAATTTCTAGCAAAAAAAAAGTGAAAAATCGTGTTATTTGACGAGAATTAATGTATTGGCATATTATCGTACTTGAACAGCAATTTCGTGGACTGACCAAACATAAATAAATGTTTCATGTTGCTGATTTTTAAAGTTGTTCCTGGAAGAAATATGCTACGGAACGTCTAGCATAACAATTTTGGAGGGGCATTCAAGGACCCCTCGTGCCTAATTGGGATCATCATGATGCGAATAAGCTTTCAAAAAAAACCTTTGAATTGACACTCCAGCCCAGAATCTTGCGGAAGCCCAGATTTCCGTTACGCTAATTCTACATTTGCACACCTTTGAAGACTACCTTGCACCGAACATTTTGTGTTTCTCTGGTTTGAATATTCGTTGTCTGAAGCCCATGGTACAGCTTCGGGAGAGGAGCAATGGTGGTGTCAGACGGCACCCCTCCTTGATTTTTTTCCTCTGGTACGACAGAACCCTCCTTTTTCCGTCTTGCCTACCATTTTATGAACTTCCATACTTCTTGACACTTTTCCCAAGAAATTCTCCAGTTTTCATCCCCTTAGAGAAAACTACTGGCGAGGGAGGGAGGCAACAACCAAAGCAACCGTTGTACAGTCTTTTTAGCTGCAAACGCTGGTTCGTGTCAGGGGAGCTGGGCTGTATTTGGAGCGGCGTCAGCCCATTCCACACAGGTTGTTGAAGAGGATAATCGACAACAGCTGAAGGGAAACGGGCTGGCGCTGCGTCAAACCCAGCCTGTGCCACCCTCCAGTGTCTTCAGCGAGAGAGACTATACCTATTCTACTGGTGTGCCTTCCTTTCCAAGGTGCTATGGACAAGAAGGCTATGGGAGAGACACGGCGGCTGACCTGACTCCGCCCACGCGATCAGCACAGACTATCTTTAAAACTTCCTTTAGAAACGTTCGCTTGGCGTCTGAGTTACAATCATTTTGGATACCGCCCTCGCACACCTCTAGCTTAGTGGACTGCTTTTATCTCGCCTTTGTACGGGCCTTTATAGGCCGAATTCCCACCGTCTAGGCTGACAACGTCTTTTTAGTACGATAATACCGAATGCAGCCTTGTCTAGCGAATAAGGAAGTTTTCTGCAGTCTGATCGCAAGACCCTTAACTGGCACATCTCTATGCAGAGCTTTTTTATTTCTGACAATTCGAATCTCCGGCAAATCTTTCATTTCGCTCGAATAGACAGACTTCAGTTGGGTGGTACCGTCAGTTAGTCGAAAGGACCTGACTCTGTTGAAGGGTTAATTCGTCTTTTCTCAGGAAAACTCCTACTTCTCACCATTTAATGTTGAAAGCCTAAGTACGCTCCTCTTTGTTTTCATTGGAGAAATCTTGGGACGATCCTTGTTCTATGACAAACCAACTAATATCGAGCCCTAAATAATCCAAATTCGTATTCTTTCGAAGAAACTTCGAGTCCTGAGTTCCATTTGATGAATGACGGGCAAATGAGAACTTCGCATGAAATTTTTCTTAGGCTGCGTTTATACTTTGCGGCAGCGTAGCGTAGCGCTTCCAGCGTACGCCAGCGGCAGTGCCGGGGAGAGGATGCATATCGATCTAGCGTTCCCAGCGTCACGCTAGCGTACGCCAGCGTTTCTCCAGCGTTTCACCAGCGTTTTGCTAGCGTTTGCAGCGGCAGGGGAGTAGAGACTATGGGAGAGCTGGAGGGTACACATCGATTGCGCGTCTCTCACTCGCCCTCAGTCTCTACAATACACATCGATTCGCGTCTCTGACGGCCACATAGTCTCTACAATACACATCGATTGCGCGTCTCTTACGGCCACATAGTCTCTACTCCCCTGCCGCTGCAAACGCCAGCAAAACGCTGGTGAAACGCTGGAGAAACGCTGGCGTACGCTAGCGTTACGCTGGTGACGCTGGGAACGCTAGATCGATATCCATCCTCTCCCCGGCACTGCCGCTGGCGTACGCTGGAAGCGCTACGCTACGCTGCGCTACGCTACGCTACGCTGCCGCAAAGTATAAACGCAGCCTTACCTTTCATACCCGCTGTGTTGACACGTCTACTATTCAGAGCGAAAGGAAAAGAAAGAAGCCATTCCTGCCTCGCTAGTAGACTAGGTAATTTTCACTAATCGGCATGATAGGGGCTATTTGAAAGGATTAAGTGTACAATATAGTATAGTGAAGGTATTGTAGTGTTGTGATGTACTTGATATTCTTTGTTAGCCACACATTTAGCTGTTAATTATTACATGGGGTCAATATAAGGAGGTAGTTTGGTTTCCGTTTCGCACGTGCCCTTAGACGGAAACCAAACAAGTTATATATCCTTCCTTTGTGCTCAAGCCAGAAATCATTGTAGAGGTAGAACGGTCGCCTTCAAAAGATTCATCTCAGAGGCATCAAGGCACGATAATTTGGTACTCGCTCTA